CGAGTGCGGCGAAAGTGAGGCCGCCTTGTTCCTTGACGACGGCCCTGACCTCGCCGGCGAGCTGCCGGTGGAGGGGCTCGCCGGCGGCGCCGACCCACTTGAGCAAACTCGGGAACAGGACTTTCATTCCGCCGTAGGCATTGAATCCGGCGAGGAACACCAAATTGTGGCAGGCTTTGTCTCTGTCTATTCCTTGACGCTCTGCTTCGTCGAGAAAGGAAGCCGATGAGGAGTAGAAGGCGTTGTAAAGTTTCCTGTGATCGAAATTGGACCCAATTTTTGAATCATTATGAATCAAGTTTTGTTGTTATAATTGAGAAATTAATGTACAGATGTTCTCTAAATGAACACTGAGTTTTGATCTACATTATGGACAGGGGAGTAGGAAGAAGGAGTAAGTGGCAATTTAAGTTGTATTAATTTTGTTGATCAAATTCAACTCTAAACTTGTTGTAGTTATTATTTTATGTTCAATTTCTAGTAAATTCAGCTACTAAGTTTTAGTGGTTACAGATCTCCAAAATTCACTAATTTTGGTGAAATAAGATTGGCCATAAAAGGAAAATTGTAACTAATAAATGGTATATTCTCGAATAAAAAGTTAGTGGATCAAATCTCCAACCGACGTAATAACAAACATTTCAATGTTGTCTATTTGTATCATATATGTATATATTTGGGTGAGTACAATACTCAAATATCTCAAATATCTCTATAATGATATTGTATACCGCTCATGATTTTACTTTTTGGTTAAAAAAAAGAAATTCATATTTGTCCTCATTTATATATTGAGACTTTATTTGTACGACTTGCAACCCGATATATATATATATATATATATAAATTTGGGATTTAGAGGTTAAAAAGGTAAGAAATATCTCATAATTAAGAGATATACTGAAATAATGGTAATTTCACAACAATGAAATGCAGGAAAGACAACTAACATTAGCTTAACTTGACAGTGATTAATACCTATCCTTCGCTGAATAACGATGAATTCAAATCTCCACCCTTGTTTTACTAAGAAACAAAAATTAGTAAAACAAAAATATGAATGACAAACTACAAAATTTTCTTCTCAGAAAAAAAAAAGGGGAAAGTTAGAAAGTGTATTTCGAATTTATCTACCAACAAGGAAGCACTCCATCTTAGTTCATCACAATCCAAAATATCTCAAATCCATTTGTTCTCAAACAATCTCTAAAAAATCTCTCAAAATTTATAGAAGCATCATATATAAAAGAAAGTTAAAATTAAAAATTAAGAGTCACCTGTAAGAAGTTTTGACGAGCATGAAGGGTAGGGGAATGGTATGGATGATGAGATCTTCAAACACACAAAATATTTTGGGCAATCCAAGCGACGCCAACGGAGCCAGCTGTAAAGTCAGCCATTTATCGAACATTCCGGGCCCGTCGCCGGCCAGTTTCGGGTCCGGGCTGCCGTCGGTGAGCAGCCGGAAAATGAAATCAAACGACATCGCATCGCTGATCGGGTTGAAATCCGCGGCCTTCTTCTTCGCCCCCAATTCATCCTCAAGCCTGATGAACATCTCCGCCAAGGCGCTGCGAAACAGA